GAAGACCGGACACGACTTCCTTTGAAGGGCATCATTAATTGATCGTAAGCGCTGCAAGCGCTCATACATTCACCTTTATGAACACATACATGCACATTCTACCCCTATGATCATTTTTGAGAGACTGAGCCGGCATATCACCTTGAGATTTATGAAGTCACCGTAGGCGCCTCGTCGTCGATGGAGACGTCTCCTCCCACTGAAAGCGCATCGCCGGAAATCCTAATATATATCCAGGAATAATACGAGCAACATGATTTTGAACCCTGATGGGCTGGGATACCATTGTTCCTTTAACCATCCAATTACAGGTTGGTTCACGATACTACCAGTAGTTGTGAAGATCAAATGGACACTCCTGCCAAACCGTACTTCTTTAAGGGATATTTAAATTTCGAACAGCGGTTGTTACTTGTGATGTGATTAATGTCAATAGTAGATATTAAAGATGTACTACCTCTGTCCTCCTACAAGCAGTGGGAAAAATATATTGATGCTGATAATTATGGCGTAAGTCGCCATAGTTCATCTTTCCACCCAGTGTGGCGCAAACTTTGGAAGCTCAAGCTGCCGGGAAAGATTAAAATCTTTGCTTGGAGATGCCTACATAGTGCTATACCGGGCTTCTGCGTCTTGCATAATCGCCATATCGGAAAAATATCACAGTGTCCTATTTGCAAGGCCGATGCGGAAGATGTTGCACATGTGTTGTTTAATTGTGTGAGAGCCAGAGCTATTTGGAGCTCTCTTGGAATTGAACAGGAGATAGAACGGGCAGCTCAGTTGGACCGATCGGGTGCAGCCATACTGGAGTTTTTACTATGTGATGAGTCACTACAACGAACATATATGGAGGCCATAACATTTCCAGAAATAATTGCAGCGGCGTGCTGGTACTTGTGGTGATAGAGACGGCAGATAGTACAAGGGGAAGAAGTTCAAACACCAGGCAGGACAGGTCCAGCGATTGTGGCCCTGACCTTGAATTACGTCCGAGCAGTAGGGAATCCTTCTACTCCTCCAAAACTGAATAAATGGCCTCTTGCATCGATGGGACAGCAAGTACTGAATGTCGATGCATCTTTTTCTGCTGGTGAGTTCTCTGGCTCATGCGGTATGATCATTCGTGATAACCGAGGGGGCTTTATTTCTGCGGGCACGACAAAGCTTGAACATGTTGCGGATGTGGTAACCGCAGAGGCAACAACACTCTTTGAGGGTTGTTCTAATATCATGGTGAGGTTGGACAATATGATCGTGGTAGAAGCTCTGAAGCTTAATGAAGGACATGCTATGGTGGCAGCTCCTGTACAAAAATATTTTGAAAGATTTCGAAAAGGTGTCTATTGAGCATTGTAATAGAGTCGAATGTAGTTGCTCATGAACTGGTTAGATGGGGCCGTGTTAATTCCCCTTCGGTTTGGGTGGATGACCCCCCTGATTTCCTAGTTAAATTCTTAGCGGATGATGTAAGCGTTATTTGAGTTTAATCAAGCTAGCCGTAGGCCTTCCCGTCAAAAAAAAAAGATGTACTACCTCCGTCCTGGTTTATAACTTCCTTTTGTATTTTGTGCCAAATTTTGATTATAGATTTAATTAATAAAATATGAATGCATGTCACCAGAAATTATATCGTTGGATTCGTATTTGAACATAGTTTTCAATTATATTATTTTTATAACATGCATTAACAATTTGTTAGTTAAATTTAAGGTCAAAATTTGACACAAAATATAAAGAAGATTAATAAATCAGGATAAGGGTAGTAGATGTGGATGTAGACGTGGAAGTATTTGTTTGCCGTGTTTAGTACCTTTGTATTTATTCGTGTATATCGCATATTATGTTTGTATGACTTCGGAGCCGTCTCTCATCTATGTATGTCGAAAATAAATCTCCTTTGGCATGCCCATCATGCCATGCTTTGACCGCTTACCCGGCCGGTGAAACACGAACCACACGTGCCCGCCCTTTGACATAATCCAGTGACCCCTGTTTGACTTCGAGCACGGGAGTCTAATTTAGCCGCCCGGGGATACGACCCTTTTTGTAGGTTTTGCTTTGGATAATGGTTATGAATTTCTTTTGGGATGCTATTAATTGCCGTGTGTTCTACTCTTCCGTGCGAGACCGAAGGCCAGAACGACTGACACTCAACCCTTTCTGGGTTCAAGTGCCCATCTATTCACATCGGGGTTAGGGCACCAGGATGACCGCCTCCCAGTACCTCCGGCACGTCTTAAGGGGGTGTACCTGCGATCCTGCAGCGGTAGCACAGCCCTCGACGGCGTCAAGGTGAACAGGGCCGCGCGGTGCCGCCTTGAGATGGAGCTGGCCTCGCGCTCGTGCTTCTCGGGGGTCCACTTGCACGGTATTGCGCCGGCAATGGACCATGGCCTAGGATTTACTATCGACAGCAGGGGAGGGAGGGTGGGAGAGAGGAGTGGGCGCGGATGGGCGCCCCCCAACGCGTGGCATTTAAAAGGACCATGAGCTGGTTGTTAGGGGGCTGCCATGTGGCCCAGTGCGAACATCGAGCGGACGCGCAACACGACTGTCCTTTTTCCTTGTGGACCCAAATCCGACTCAAATTTGAGCTAGAAATGGATCCGCGCAGACATGAGATGGACATAAACGCCAAATGTGTCGCCGCGTTAGGTTGTGATTTCTGTCCACGGGGACCTAAATAGACGTGAGCGGACAAAATACGTCCCAATGTTGGAGTAGCCCTAATGTCTGTCCATTGGGTATGGCGAGCGACGTGAGGTCTGACCTTGGTCGTGGCCTGCCCAACGATGAAGAAAAATAAATCATACCTAAATCCAACCCGAATCCTATTTGGTGCTTCAGGGGCCAAATAGAGTGCAAATGGTATGGTGTGCACAACCCCCACTCGTTCGGAAGTCTAGGTGGGCTGCCGACCTTGCCTAAAAAAAAGTTGGGCTACCGACCGGTTATCACCACTCTACTGGTTAAGGTTCCTGCCGGTTTTCTGGGCTGTTTTTGGTAGTTTTCCAGTGTTTTTTATAAGTTTATTTTCCTTTTTGTTTCCTTTTACCCTTTTATTTTTATTTTTAAACTCATGTTTTTATAAAAAAAATCTGTTTTTTTAATTTTTGCACATTTTTCAGAACAGGTGATTTCATTTCAAATTCGTGTTTTTTTCTAATTCCTTTTTTTTTCAAATCCATGAACTTTTTTTCTTGAAATCGATGGTCTTTTTTCAAATGCACTAACATTCTTCAATTGGTGAACTTTTTCAAATTCATATTTTTTAATTGCGAAATTTCAAATTCATGAAAAATTTAAGTTTCTCTATTTTTTTTAAACTATGAATTTATTTCAAAATTTGTGAATTTTCCAAATTCACAAGAAAAATCATTTTCGTGAACTTTTTCCACAGTTATGAAGTTTTTTTCACTGTTAAAAAATTTGCGAAAATTTTCATGTTTCACTATTTTTTTTAAATTTAAGAATTTATTTCAAATTTTTTGAATCATTTGCAAAGTCAAATGTCAAGTGGTCAAAGGTCAACTTGGCTGACGAGGCGAGGTCAGGGAACGAGCGACCTGTACGTAGACGAAAAAGAAAAACGAAAAAACGGAGCGCGAGCGAGGGAAGCTGAGGGAACAGCTACATGGGCCGGCTCACAGTGTCATCTTTCAGGCGCTAACAACTCAACGAACACGCAGCAGCCCAGCCCAACGCAACACATCGGCGCAGCACACGCCCCCGACGGAGCGTCACACAGGGGAGGGGACAGGGCACAGCCGCCGCCGCCCCCCGCGGCTCCGCCACCGGCCACCGGCCAGCGGCACACACACACTTCGGACGCCGCTCCACCGTGCTCCCGGCGGCGCAGGTCAGCCCCTCTTCCTCCTCTCATCTCCCCCGCGTGCCCGCCTCCTTCCCCGCGCGCCCGTCTTCCCTCCCGCGCGCCGCCGTCTGCCTGACCCACTCCCACGCGCCCGTCTCCCTCTCCCATGGTAGATGGCACGGCAGCCTCTCCCCCCCCATGGCTGCTACTTCCTGTAGCCAGTCCATGGCAACCGTCACCTACCCCCCTCCCAACCCCTGGACAGAAACCCTAATCCCCACCCTTGATTGACATGCTATACAAATTGATGCCTAATTGCAAATTGTGCAGGTGATGTTGTTGTATTCTTGACATGCAATCTTTCCAAAAACAATAATATATATATTCACATATTGCATAGATTTAGTCTTAAACATTACATCAAAGTACAATGTTCATCCTATGACAAATGAGAAATTAAAATCTAGAGAATGAGCATCCAAACAAGCTTTAGAATTAAGCTTCTCATGCGAATTTCAGGTTTTGGTCAATTATGTCAACATCCAAACAAAAGAATTCGGGTGCAATGTCAGTGTCAGGGTCAAGGAGATCTGATATTGGGGCCAATTCAATCCCAAGGCCCTGAATATGTTATTGTCTATTCGTCTGTGGTGGCATAAATAAATCACTGAAGATCTTGTTGTTTACAGTTTATGTAAAGCAATTGTTGTTTACGGATGCTACTTATTAATGACATCGATTCAGAATTGAAATTTTCTGTCTTCTTCTTTAGCTTGGCCTCTCACCCAACAATTTGTTTGTAGCTCCACCACATTACCCTCCTGTAGTAGCCCCAAATACAGCATTACGGTTTAACTAGTTCACTTCAGTCACATACTTTTTCTAATTCCTACAATGTTGGGCATCAAACCAATCATGCTCTTCGAAATTTTAGTTATGATCTGTAAGTTATCTTGTAGGTTTGCAAAGTTAGTAGAGACCAATTCTAGTGCTGACACTGGTGGGAGTTATGTCTAGTTAGGAACTGGCTGATCTTGTATGCAGTTTTGTCAGAAAATTTCCAGTTTGAGAACATTAATGTTATGATATCTGTCGTGCACTTTCATCATTATTGTTGAATTCGGGTGCGAAATGACCTAGGTTTCTTTATCTACCTCGCCTTCTCTCTGTAGGTGCTGCAAAGATGCCTCAGGTAATGGTGGTCGCACGGAACTTCATGGACATGGTGGCTGCACTGCCTGCTGCCAAACTCGATATGCTCTACGATTCCGCCTTCATCTGTGAGGCTGTACTCAGGTCTCCAACCAACCCGTTACGCAACACATTTTGGCGAGGTCTGTTGCTGTCATTGTGATTTTTCACACTTTCACTTCTTCAGGTCGTTCCCACCGCTGGCAAAGAAGTACGTAATTCAGATGCTGTACGTGTCGGCACCGATGCCTGCTGCGGCTATGCAGGAGTGGGTGCTGGATGAGTATGCCTCCAAGCACAAGGTTGCCATCGATAGGCTGCTCCAGCTCAGGGTTTTTGTGGAAGTACGTGACAGGTAAGACCTCATCCACCTCTATCTGGTGCTTGGTATGTATGATTGAGATTTTTGAGAAGACCTTTTTAGCCTTCCTGGATCTGATCAACTAGCAAAGAACCAAATAACTGGAACTTACAAGCCAGAATGGTGATTTTTATTTGCCATAGTGACTCAGGGCTGCCGGCGCGATGCCATCTGTTATATCTTTAGCATACATGAGCGATTTGATCTATGGTGGATACCAAGTTGCTGAAATGTTAGCGAAAACAAAATACTAATTAGAGGTAGTAAACAGTCTCTTGCTCCGTTATTTCAATGTCTACACTGTATAAGTATAGTAATAGGAATTCTTTAGTTTATTAGGTTTTACATCACTTGCATGATGCAAGTTAGTCTATGCAATTTCTAATTCACCTGCTCGTGTACTGTGTGCATACTGTGTAGTCTACAAATGAATCATGCAATTTCTAGCTCATTTTGTTTTGATGCACATACAGAAGGAAGGAGGTGAGCTACAAGATGAATAATAAGTTTCAGGCTAACATGCAAAAGTATTTGGTTAGTGGGTAAGTTTTTCTGAACTATTTTGTTGAATACAAACAACACGGATATTTTATTCTTCTGTTTGAAGCTAATTGCTTATTGCCTCACTGTTATGATGTTTTCAACATGTTTTTATTCATCTTAGAATATGGAATCATTTTTTATTATGTTAGAAATCACCAGGATGGTGTTTAAGGTTTTACTGCTTTGGTTTTTGTTTCGTAAGTTCCATCAAAGTACTAGTTGATCAAATTCCATTTCTTTCTGCTGCAGCGGGTGTTTGCCAAGGGAACCGCTACCAATCAGTGTCACTGGCAGATTGCCTACACTGGTGGAACTAGAAAATTATGCTCTTGATCAATGGGAGGTCAGGATGAGAAAGCTTATACTCTATTTTTTTCCATGCATGTTTTATTTTATATCATTGACCTTTTTTTGTTTGCTCATTGGGTCATACTGTTTGCACATTTGGTAGAATACATGTGTTCACTTCAACTAGTAATGCGTGTTCCTTTTTTTTACGGTAAAATAGTGCTTCTTGCTGCAATTGATCAACTCGTCTCAAGTTGAGAAAGGGACCACTTTCAGCTCGTCTATGATGAAGACGTTCCAGCGAGGTCTTCTGAGTTCAAGGTTCAAATCTAATTGCCCCCTTGTTTGACAATCAGTTGCGTATAAACTAGTGAGTAATGACAGCCAAATTTCATTTCAATGACATGACATGTAAAGTTAGCTCTTTCTCTTGCTAGTGCAACTAGGTATAATATGCAGTGTCGGTATGGACATAGTAATATCTAACAAAAATTAGACTAGTAAATTTAAGAAACCATGATCTGACAGTAAATTGCTGTTTGTTTATGTTGATTGTTCATGTCTCCTGGTTGCAAAATGGGATTAACTGGCGATCCTAACAATTCATTCAGTTGACTGGCTTGATATGTTCGAATTTAGATAAAAATCAGTTTGGTTTCATGCCTGGGAGGTCGACCATGGAAGCCATTTTCTTGGTACGACAACTTATGGAGAGATATAGGGAGCATAAGAAGGACTTGCATATGGTGTTCATTGACTTGGAGAAGGCCTATGATAAGATACCGCGGAATGTCATGTGGTGGGCCTTGGAGAAACACAAAGTCCCAGCAAAGTACATTACCCTCATCAAGGACATGTACAATAATGTTGTGACAAGTGTTCGAACAAGTGATGTCGACACCGATGACTTCCCGATTAAGATAGGACTGCATCAGGGGTCAGCTTTGAGCCCTTATCTTTTTGCATTGGTGATGGATGAGGTCACAAGGGGTATACAAGGAGATATCCCATGGTGTATGCTCTTTGCGGATGATGTGGTGCTAGTTGACGATAGTCGGACGGGGGTAAATAGGAAGTTAGAGTTATGGAGACAAACCTTGGAGTCGAAAGGGTTTAGGCTTAGTAGAACTAAAACCGAGTACATGATGTGCGGTTTCAGTACTACTAGCTGTGAGGAGGAGGAGGTTAGCCTTGATGGCCAGGTGGTACCTCGGAAGGACACCTTTCGGTATTTGGGGTCAATGTTGCAGGAGGATGGGGGTATTGATGAAGATGTGAACCATCGAATCAAAGCCGGATGGATGAAGTGGCGCCAAGCTTCTGGCATTCTCTGTGACAAGAGAGTGCCACAAAAGCTAAAAGGCAAGTTCTACAGGACGGCGGTTCGACCCGCAATGTTGTATGGCGTGGAGTGTTGGCCGACTAAAAGGCGACATGTTCAACAGTTAGGTGTGGCGGAGATGCGTATGTTGAGATGGATGTGTGGCCACACGAGGAAGGATCGAGTCCGGAATGATGATATACGAGATAGAGTTGGGGTAGCACCAATTGAGGAGAAGCTTGTCCAACATCGTTTGAGATGGTTTGGGCATATTCAGCGCAGGCCTCCAGAAGCTCCAGTGCATAGCGGACGGCTAAAGCGTGCGGAGAATGTCAAGAGAGGGCGGGGTCGACCGATTTTGACATGGGAGGAGTCCGTTAAGAGAGACCTGAAGGATTGGAGTATCGACAAAGAGCTAGCTATGGATAGGGGTGCGTGGAAGCTTGCTATCCATGTGCCAGAGCCATGAGTTGGTTGCGAGATCTTATGGGTTTCACCTCTAGCCTACCCCAACTTGTTTGGGACTAAAGGCTTTGTTGTTGTTGTTGTTGTAAATCATGTGGATGCGGGACTTCTAAAGCCAATAGCCCTGTTTTTTTCTTTCTTCTTCCTTTTCAACTAGCTGTAAGTTCAAATTTATAATGAATTCAATACCATGAGTTCATAATACAATACATTTCACAGGGATGGTGAAGCTGCAAAGTTAAGTGAGAATGGCTTCCAGTTTCTGGTCTGTGCTTAGCTCAATTGAACAAATTATCTGTCAGATTTCCGCCTTCAGTTCTCACTCTTTTCCATTTGTCTAGCTGATGGAGACAAATGCACAGCTTTGGTATATAATGAGAGAATACATTTCATCCGCAGAGGTACTGGTGTCATTTTATCTTTAGATGCCTTTTGATTTGACATGAGTATTTTTCTGTGCTGACTCGTATTTTTTTTTGAATAGGAACGTGGGGTGGACCCCACGGACTTGATATCATTTCTATTGGAGCTTAGTTTTCATACACAAGGAGCGGTAAAGTAAAACATTCTTTTACAAGATCATGTTAAGAGCCATTCAGAAGTGAAAAGTTACCCAACCTTTGTCTGCAATGATCATTAAAGTCCTATTTCTCATGGCTCAGTTTTCTTTCAACAATAGTAGGGAATATTAATATGAGCAAGAGGTGTACAGACATAAATATTATTGATTTGGGGTTTGTTGAAGAGAGATCAATTGTAGCAGTAATACAATATATGAATTAGAGCATCTCAAAGATACTAAAGTATATTCCTGTATTTGTTCTGTTCTATCTAAGAGGCAGGGGCCGAGGGCCATCAACGTTTTTTCGCCAGATTATATTGTTGATTGAAGGAAATATTTAATTCCAGTGTTTAAAAGAAGTTAAACGGCTGCAGGACTACATTTATCATATTAAATTTATTCTGCACATTTTTTTTGTTCAGACCTTGCTGCTCGGTATGTTGGTTTCAACTTACAAATTGACCGCAAGTTTTCTTATCTCTCTGTTCATGTTTCAGGCTTACAGCCTAAGTACTCTGACAGAAGTCCAAAGAGTTGCAATTATGGATCTGATGGAGCTCGGGTTAGTCAAACTGCAGCAGGTAAAACTTTGAATTTTTTTCCTGGTCAGCTTGATAAATATGATTTTAAGAGTTAAGAATAACAGGGCCGGAAAGATAGCTGGTTCATACCTACAAAATTGGCTACAAATCTCTCATCGAGCTTGTCAGATTCAGCTGCCAGCAAAGAGGTTTAATAACATCCCATTTCCTTTGCTATTGCAGTTTTATGCTCTCCAAATCTTCTTCATAACTTCCACCAACTTGTCACCTAAGTGACACATAATGAAGATGAACTATTTTCCACCTATGAGTTGATAGTGTGATATTGTTGTGGCAGGGTATTGTGGTTGTGGAGACAAACTTTAGGTTGTATGCGTACTCTGCTTCCAAGCTGCACTGTGAAATTCTACGTCTTTTTTCAAGGTACATCAGCCGTCAGATGAGTGACATAACCTAGCTCGTCTCTGGCATTTTTACACTTTGGCCACTGCTAAGTAGCTTCAGCATGTTCCTAGTGCTCTTGGTTATCAATACGCGAAATGCTTGGTGCGCAGAAGTGTAACATTTTTTGTCTGTGTGTGCGTGTGTGCGCGCGCACTTTAGCAGTTCTATACTGCTTCCAGATTGTTTTAGGTTTTAGCAAATCTGGCAGAACTGCGTCGAGTGGCATTTTTCTATGCTAGTTCAGTTATTTGGATGATCCTGACAGCATTGGTTTACTTTTGTTCTAGGCAGCAACTAGGGCTGTTGATCTTCTTTGTGAGATGCCTTGAATAAGCTAAGCAATGCCAACTTTCCTACCTGAGTCAAGTTCTAGATCTAGGAATACAAAAATGCAGCAACACTGGATTGCTTGTTAGCTTATTATAACCTAACTACGTATGGGCGTCCAAGATGCAAGGCCCCTAAAAAATGTTGAACCCAACTCTGCTTGTAAATCTAGTTATTGTCTTAACTCTCCACAATCGATCGAAAAGATTGTTGGCAGTTGCATACTGGTAGCTGTATTTTGTGAGTCCTTCATTCCCCTTGTGTTATATGGTCTTGTAGGGTAGAGTATCAACTCCCGAACCTTATTGTGGGAGCTATTACAAAAGAAAGTCTGTATGGTGCATTTGATAACGGGATCACTGCTGAACAGGTAATCATCTTGATCACACATTCCTACATGATTCATTGTTACACAGATACATGTAGTTATGCTTTTTTCTTTTTCTTTGTCAGATAATTTCATTCCTTCAGCAAAATGCCCACCCTCGTGTCATCGACAAAATACCTATAGTCCCAGAGAATGTTACAGATCAGGTAAGCACAGCAACCCATCCCTCATAGGCCAGACATCATCTGTTTCAACAGATACATAAAACTGAAGAATGCCAATTCTCCGATGCAGATTAGGCTGTGGGAGAATGACCGTAACAGGGTCGAGATGGTCCTGTCACACGTATACGAAGATTTTCCGAGCAAGGTATAAACCCTTCATCCACCAAACCATGCCAGTTCCTTGCGGATGGATAGTGTCTGGACAAATTTGAAAACCTGGACTCTGATTACCAATAAACTTACATCTGGGTGCCGCTTACTTGTGCAGGACATGTTTGAGCAATGCTGTGACCACGCAAGGGATAACGGGTACTTGCTGTGGGAGGACGCGAAGAAGATGCGGTTGATAGTGAACGCGGAGTTCCACCAAGAAATGCGGGAGTTCCTGCGCAGGCAAAGATGATCCAAGGGAAGTGACCATCTTGGAGAGAAGAAAAGAAGCAACTTGTCTGAACCACACGCTCCTTCATGTGAGGAAGGCCTGAATCCACCCACCAACCAGACAAGTCTTTACAACATCCATCGGCAGGAGGCACCGAGGCAGAGTGGTTGTCTGTAGATGTTGAAATCATTTGAACTCGATGGTCGTAAATCGAGTGTAATCATATGTTTGATAGGTTCAGTCTGCAGTTTGCGTCATGCTAAGTGTAGGTCACAGAAGGTAGTGGATTATCCAGTTAGTCAAATCAAAATCGGATGAACTGTACATGCTCCACTTCTCCAGTTCAGTTTTGCATGGAAGTTGCGTACAATTGTGATTACCCTGTGTCAGTCAGTTTGGAACCTGACAATTTGGATTTTCAGTAAAGTGGTTTAGTATCTTTTTAACAAAATACGTGGGAGTTTATGAGTATTCACACTGGTATGTAGAGTTAAAATACAATGAGCGCTCAATTTGATGTTCAGGCGTAGGACAACACTAAAGTTGAAATATGGCCTCACATTAAACGAGTGTTCAGTATAGAAACGAATTTATATTAAAAAAAACTGGTTTCAAATATTTGAACTAAAGTTCCACTTTTTGTTTGTTCACAACATCGAACGGCTTGTTGTGTTGACACCAAAGATATCGTGGCAGTGGTCGTCAACTGAACCGGAGGCAAAACTGGTGGTCATACAACTAAACCGAAGGCAAAACCAGCCAGCAAAACCGGTTAACGTGGCTGGTACCAAATCCTTCTGAGATGATATTGTTTCCCTTTGTTATCCACATTATATTAACTTGAGAAATTGAAATAGGACTTTGCCTATAAATGCGTGTTTGGAAATCAGACTTATCCTTATTCTATATCATACAGAAAGAGGAAGAAACTTGCGAACCAACCTGCGGTTGGATGGTTAGAGGGACAGTGGTATCCCCAGCCCACCAGGGTTCAAGTCCTGGTGCTCGCATTATTCCTGGATTTATTTCTGGATTTCCGGTGATACACTTTTAGTGGGAGGAGACATTCGCGTCGACGACGAGGCGCCAGTGAAAAAGAGAAATAAACTTTTTTTTGAGGGAGAGAGGAAGAAACACTTGAATATTAAAGTAGTAATTGTCATTGGTGACGATGTGAAAGGAAAGAAACATGAAGAATCTTTAATCTACACATCAAAAAGATGGCCGATAAGTTTCCGATAACAGCAATCGATCAAGAGTGTGTTTCCTGCCTATTTTGTATCAGTACACGTTCTCACACTAACAATGGTTGCATTTTTTAGATGGAAATACACGTACCCACCAGGATTAGGCCTCAATAAATATTACCTTTTTCATCCCTCAATCCAAAAAACAGATTGGCCCATGAAAGATACCAGCATATATATGCCCCATATGCGAGCCTGTCATCCAAAGTTCATCGAGCAAACACACAAACACTGCAGCCTACCACCGGACTTATCCCACAACTTTGTCAACTCTTCCCCTTGAAATGGAGAGTGTTCCAGTGTTGATTGTTGGTGCTAGGCCAGCAGGCCTCGCAATGGCAGCATGTCGGTTCAATATCTGGTGTATCTCGTAGTAGGGGTCATAAGCTAGGTGTCTGGGAGCGATGGAACATGGACACAGGGTTTTACCCAGCTTCGGGCTCTCTTGATGAGATAATACCCTACATGCTGCTTTTGATTGTATTCATATGGGTGTAGTACAAAGTATATGTATCTACCACGAGATTGTAGTAATGAATATGAGATTGTCTATTGACTAGCCTGGCCTCGGTTTATATATGCACTGTAGGCCTAGGGTTTAGAGGAGTCCTTGTCTTGGGCGCCAAGTCTTGTAGAATCCTCCTTGCATGCGGCATGGGCTGTTCGAACAGGCCCAATAGTGAACCGCCATGGGGGTCCTCGGCCCGATCCAGCTGGTCGGGAGACGACGTGGTGAGTACCCCCTAGTCCAGGACACCGTCAGTAGCCCCCTGAACCAGTTTTCAAGTTGGGGACGCTCCTCGATTCTTCCGAACTATTCTTCATCTTCGGTCATCGGTCTTGAAAACTGGTTCAACAAATCTTCTCATCTTCGATCTTGAGGATCATCGAAGTGCATCCAAAGATTTTACACATCAGGTATCCGAGAAGTCCCTTTAAGTTTCCGGCCTTTATCAATGCCCTGTTATTTTTACGCCAGACCATGGGTTTGAAGTTGTTCCCGCACGGCAGTCCTGGTGCTCGCATTATTCCTGGATTTATTTCTGGATTTCCGGTGATACACTTTCAGTGGGAGGAGATGTTCCCGTCGACGACGAGGCGCCAGTGACTTCGTAAATCTCAAGATGATGCCGGCTGAGTCTCACGAAGGTGCTCAGAGCGCTTGCGTCTGTACAGTGCTCAAAAAAAGAGAAATAAACTTTTTTTTGAGGGGGAGAGGAAGAAACACTTGAATATTAAAGTAGTAATTGTCATTGGTGACGATGTGAAAGGAAAGAAACATGAAGAATCTTTAATCTACACATCAAAAAGATGGCCGATAAGTTTCCGATAACAGCAATCGATCAAGAGTGTGTTTCCTGCCTATTTTGTATCAGTACACGTTCTCACACTAACAATGGTTCCATTTTTAGATGGAAATACACGTACGCACCAGGATTAGGCCTCAATAAATATTACCTTTTTCATCCCTCAATCCAAAAAACAGATTGGCCCATGAAAGATACCAGCATATATATGCCCCCATACGCGAGCCTGTCATCCAAAGTTCATCGAGCAAACACACAAACACTGCAGCCTACCACCGGACTTATCCCACAACTTTGTCAACTCTTCCCCTTGAAATGGAGAGTGTTCCAGTGTTGATTGTTGGTGCTGGGCCAGCATGCCTCGCAACGGCAGCATGTCGGTTCAATATCCGGTGTATCTCGTAGTAGGGGTCCTAAGCTAGGCGTCTGGGAGTGATGGTAACATGGACACGGCGTTTAACCCAGCTTCGGGCTCTCTTGATGAGATAATACCCTACATGCTGCTTTTGATTGTATTCATATGGGTCTAGTACAAAGTATATGTATCTACCACGAGATTGTAGTAATGAATATGAGATTATCTATTGACTAGCTTGGCCTCGGTTTATATATGCACCGTAGGCCTAGGGTTTAGAGGAGTCCTTGTCTTGGGCGCCAAGTCTTGTAGAATCCTCGCATGCGGCATGGGCTGTTCGAACAGGCCCAATAGTGAACCGCCATGGGGGTCCTCGGCCCGATCCAGCTGGTCGGGAGACGACATGGTGAGTACCCCCTAGTCCAGGACACCGTCAGTAGCCCCCTGAACCGGCCTTCAAGTTGGGGACGCTCCTCGTTTCTTCTGAACTGTTCTTCATCTTCGGTCGTCGGTCTTGAAAACTGGTTCAACAAATCTTCTCATCTTCGATCTTGAGGATCGTCGAAGTGCATCCGAAGAGTTTACACATCAGGTATCCGAGGAGTACCTTTAAGTTTCCGGCCTTTATCAATGCCCTGTTATTTTTACGCCACACCATGGGTTTGAAGTTGTTCCCGCATGGCAGTGTCCTCTTGCATCCGAGCTCCAACGCCGGACTGCATTTGAGGTATCTTTTGCAGCCAAGCACCAACGCCAGACTGCTTCCAAGCTCCAATGCCGGAATGTAACCGAGCTCCAATGCCGGACTATGCCCAAGCTCCAACGCTGGACTATGTCCGAGGTGTCATAGATCACCTTGGTTCAAAAAAGTGTTAGCCGAGCTTAATGCCGGAAATGCCCTCTAAGGAGCCAGCCACTTGCATCCGAGCTATATGCCGAACTGCTTCCGAGGTGGCTCAGCACCTCGGTCATGGGCTGATTGTTTGTGGATTTTATTTCTGATGTGTATAAATTTATTTGCTGACGAGATGTATTACCAGTAGCCCTCAATGTGTCTATCGTCCTAAAATCCGAGATGCACCTGAAGGAAAACATAAAACTGCTGATCCTGGTAGCCCATGAGACCCAAGTCGTGAAATCGGCCTGAGGATCAACTCCTAGCTCGGCAGCATACATAGGAATAGAAACGCAGTGTAATATATTAGAGGTAATAGTGATTGGCGGACGGGCCCCTGAGAGAGGGTCGTGAGAAGTCGCCGTGATATATCAGCTTGATGCCGGATAAGTCCCATATGGTACTTATTTCGTGCGAAGACGCGCTTGTCCATAGTTCGGTTATGCCGAACACTGATCACTTTGAATTTTCTTCATTGAATAGGCAATGCAGTAGCCCCCGAGACACTGCTCGGGTGGCAACACCAGATTAGGGGATCGATGTGCCCCTTTAATATTTGTAAATAATGAGTGCAAAACCTAGTAGCCCCCGAGCCTTAATGTGGGCACGGGTGGCCGAATTAAGGATCGATATTCGTTTGACAGAAAATTTTGTTGTGTTTGACACAAACTTCTCGGAAAGGGAATAAAGATCTCTTAAAAGAGTTTAGAGCTGGTCGAAATTTGAGCTCGCCAAGGTAGGCCCCAAGGGGTTTAAAAGATGGATTGCAGTAAATGGATTGTACTCGCAATTTTTATGTGTAATGATTCTATGTATCCAAGTACTTTTCATCATTAATGCTCAAATCCGCATTGTACAAAACTTTGTTGACCAACCATCGGCTTCAACT